CCCGCGACGGGGTTCCCCACTGGCAGCGAGGAGCCGTCGCCCGCGCTGCTCGACTATGACGACCAGCTCCTGCTCTATCTGTGGCGTGACTACCTGTACCCCAAGCAGTACGAGTGGGTTCTCATCGCCGCCTACGTGGCTGTGTTCCTCGTGGCCCTGGTGGGCAATGCACTGGGTAGGTCTCCGCTCTGCCCTGGGTGGCTGTGCTTGTGCGTGGGGGTGCTGGCTGGTGGGCGCTGCTGGGGCTCCCCTCACCGGCCCTGCTCGCAGTCTGCCTGGCCGTGTGGCAGAACCAGCACATGAGGACCGTCACCAACTACTTCATCGTCAACCTGTCCCTGGCCGACGTGCTGGTGACCGCCATCTGCCTGCCGGCCAGCTTGCTGGTGGACATCACCGAGTCCTGGCTCTTTGGCCCTGCCCTCTGCAAAGTCATCCCCTATCTGCAGGTGAGCGCTTCCCAGCACCCTCACCAGGAGGCCCGGCCCGCCCCGCCCCGCCCCGCCCCTGCCCAGCCTGATCTGCATCCCGCCTCCCAGAACTTGCCTTGCAGCCTGGGAGGGGGCGACTTCTCTGACCCTGGGCATAAAGATGGCCGGGCCTCCCGTGCCTCGGTTCCCCCACTTGTACAATGAGGCGACGGCGCTCACCCACGGGGGGGGGGGGGGCTGAGGCTGTGAGGGAAAGCTCTGGAAGGTGGCACGGGCACGGCCCACCGTTGGCTGGGCAGGCTCCTTCCCTTTCTGTAGTTTGTTATAGGGCGTGTTCACTGGCGAGGCAGAGCTGGAGAGGCAGAGAGAGAACGAGTGGGTAGTGAGCACCCACCCCCGGGGACAGCCATGCTGCAGTCCCTTCTCCACTCTCCTCTTGGGATTTGGGGCATGCACACACAAGGGCCCAGCGTGATTTCCAAGCTGCCGGCCCTGGGCCTTGGACTGTGGTCAGCCACCCTAACCACCACGCCATCAGCTGGCCCTGGGTGTTTTCCTTACACGACTTCATTTATCCTCACAAGAATCCCGCCAGGTAAATGAGGTTCAGAGAGGGTGAACGGCCCGCCCAAGCTTGCACAGTCCACAGTAGTGCTGTCAGCATCTGCAGCGCGCCTGGCTGCCCGGCGTCTGAGCTGTGGCCCACTCGCTCACCCACCCCGTGTCTCCGAGTGGCCCCCGGAGGACGGATGCCGTGCCCTGGCGGGGCGGGCTGTGCCCCCGGAGGGCGGATGCCGTGCCCTGGCGGGGCGGGCCGGGCCCCCGGGGGGGTGGGGCCGGGCCCCGGGGACTGACGCTGTGCCCTGGCGGGGCAGGCCGTGTCTGTGTCCGTAGCAGTGCTGACTCTGAGCTTCATCGCCCTGGACCGCTGGTACGCCATCTGCCACCCGCTGCTGTTCCGGAGCATGGCCCGGCGTGCCCGGGGCTCCATCCTGGGCATCTGGGCGGTGTCACTGGCCATCATGATGCCCCAGGCTGCTGTCATGGAGTGCAGGAGCATGCTGCCGGAGCTGGCCAACCGCACTCGGCTCTTCTCCATCTGTGACGAGCACTGGGCAGGTAACGGTGGGTGCTTGGGCAGGTGTCCCTTGGGGGCCACTTCCACGGTGGGCACCAGGGCTGCGTGTCACCCTGTAGAAGACCCTAGAGCAGGCATCTGTCAGGTTCCCCCAGCTGGGGTCCTTCCAGGATGGACCCTGCCAGGCGGACGGCTCTCGGGCCCACCACTCTGCGCCGTGGTGCTGCGTGCCTGCCCCTGGCACGGCCTGGCTCTGGGCCTCGCTGGGACAAGGTGACACAGCTAAGCAGGGCAGGCAGGGGCTCCCGTGTGGGCCTAACCCTGCATCTTGGCCCCACAGACGACCTCTACCCCAAGATCTACCACAGCTGCTTCTTCATTGTCACCTACCTGGCCCCGCTGGGCCTCATGGCCATGGCCTATTTCCAGATCTTCCGTAGGCTCTGGGGCCGCCAGGTGAGGTCACCCGGGCAGCCCCGCCTGGGCTGGGAGGGTGGGGCTCTGGGGCTCAGGAGCAGAGGGTGCTCTGTCCGAGAACGTGCCATGGCGGCTGCGGCGGCCAGGCCCGTCAGTGTGCCCTGCTCGTGTCAGTGCTGCCCTCCCTGTACCACTCACCCCGGCTGGCCTCACGGCTCCCCGCCACTCTCTGTCACACTTAGCG